ATGTTCCCATCAAAAATTGGGAACATCAAATGATCTGATGTTCCCATCACTGAAATGTTAGAAAAACAATTAAATTAAAAAACGAAATGAAAAACAATGAAGAAATAAAAAATAAACTATACTCATGAAATGAACGGTATGGTAAACAACAAAGCTCAATTCCATCGCAGTGTCACAAAATAATTAAATCAAAATGAAAATAATTCGAAATCTATGAAAATTCAATTTATCAATGAAACTGGAAACATTGAAATGGAATCATAACATATTTAGTATAGCGTGAGTTGTTCTTACGTGCAACAGATGGCGCTGTTATTCAAAAATGCATGTTTTTACTGTCACAGGTGTGTGGCATTTATACTTATACTCACGAAATGAACGATATGGTAAACAACACAGCTGAATTCTAAGGCAATATCACAAAATATTTAAATCAAAATGAAAAAAATATCGAAATATATGAAAATTTAATTTGCCAATGCAATCGGAATGATTGAAAAGGAATCGTAACATAGTTATTATAGTGTGTATGGCTCTTACATGCAACAGATGGCGCTGTTTCTTAAAACAAGAAGAATGTTTTACCTTTTATAAGTGTGGCATCTACACTTCTACTTATGAAATGAACGGTGGTAAAACACAGCTCAATTCCAACACAATGTCACAAAAAATAATTAAATTTAAATAAATCGAAATCTATGAAAATTCAATTTATTGATGCAATTCGAAACACTGAAGTGGAAATCATAACATATTTAGTATAGCGTGAGTGTGTTGCTATTACGGTCAACCGATGGCGCTGTTTTTTCTTAAAATTATGTTTTTACCTGTCACAAGTGTGACATCTATATAGTAGGCATATAAAAACACGCGCATATTCGAATGGAACGTTGTATCAGAATTTCAAAGCAATTAGTGAAGAATTTTGGGAGATAACAGTGTGTGTTGCTCTTACGTCCAACAGATATCGCTGTTTATCAAAAAAGCATGTTTTTTCCCGACACAGGTGAGGCATGTATATAGTAAGAATATAAAAAACATACGCCTATTCAAATGCAACGTTGTATCAGAATTTCAAAGCAATTAGTGAAGAATTTTGGGAGATAACAGTGTGTGTTGCTCTTACGTCCAACAGATATCGCTGTTTATCAAAAAAGCATGTTTTTTCCCGACACAGGTGAGGCATGTATATAGTAAGAATATAAAAAACATACGCCTATTCAAATGCAACGTTGTATCAAAATTTCAAAGCAATCGGTAAAGAGGTTTCGAAGATTTCTTTCACATGAAAAACACATGAAAGACACAGTTTTTCAAAAAAGCATGTTTTTTTTCCGTCACAGACGTGACATCAATATAATATGTATATAAAAACCCGCTCTGATGCGAATGGAACCATGTGTGAAAATTTCAAAGCAATCAGTGAAGAACTTTCGGAGATTAGCGATTTTGAACAAACGAACATTTCCATTTTTATTTATATAGATATATAATATATATATATATATATATATATATATATATATATATATATATATATATATATATATATATATATATATATATATATATATATATATATATATATTATTAAATATGACCGAAAAAGTAAGATTAATAATTCTAACACGAATTTTTTCAATCTTTCGTACATTTCTTTTCACTGTTGGTGGTAATTCAAAAATCAATTCTCCAAAATTCATTTTTATTTCTAGTCTGACACGACACTTGAGCGCGTTTCGTAAAACTTATTACATTTTCAAAGACTTTAGTTAACACATACACAACTGAATAGAACTTACACGTCTCCGATTTGTTTATATCTACATTTGAGTGAGGTGGATGGGGTGAGGTGGTATTAATAGGGTATTAATTTCATCAACACAAGACAGAACACGAAACAATGGGTATTGAATGGAAGTGATTGTAGAAAGCCTATTGGTCCATATTTCTTGATGCTTCTATATTGGCCTAAATGCCAACAGCGACTGCCCAGACAGGTACAAGAGGAGTGTTGTTAACGCATATGTCGACCGTGCTCTCAGCCACAGCTCAGAATGGAAGCAAGTCGACGAAGAACTCTGTAGGGTAAGGCAGGTCCTAGTCAACAACGGCTTCTCGAATGGTTTCATCGAAGACATCATAAGAAGGAAAGTGAAACGCCATGCAACCTCTGAAGAGACAACTAACACAACACCTATACCCCCTATTAGACTATTTTACAGGAACTTCTTTTCCACAGCTCATAAAACGGAGGAAAGGGTCCTGAAAGATATTGTTAATAGAAACGTTATCCCTACAGACAAAAATCAGAGGATACAACTGACGATTTACTATAAAACCAGAAAAACGGCCAGCCTACTCATGAGAAACTCTCCAGACACAATGCAGAACGCTTTAAAAGAGACCAACGTCGTCTATGCCTTGAAATGCCCTCTTGGGGATTGTAAGCTCCAAAAAACCCAGTATATAGGCAAGACAACAACATCTCTTTCTAGGCGTTTAACGATGCATAAGCAACAGGGCTCCATTAAGGAACATATAATCTCTTCCCACAACCAAACCATCGCCAGAGAAATCCTTGTAAACAACACAGAAATCATCGATAGATACAGCGATAGCAGACGGCTTGACGTTTGCGAGGCACTACACATTAAAAAGTCAACACCAGCAATCAACAGCCAACTAATGCACAACTATATTCTACCCACCTCAAGACTCCGCTCTAATATAGAAGCATCAAGAAATATGGATCAATAGGCTTTCTACAGTCACTTCCATTCAATACCCATTGTTTCTTGTTCTGTCTTGTGTTGATGAAATTAATACCCTATTAATACCACCTCACCCCGTCCACCTCACTCAAATGTAGATATAAACAAATCGGAGATGTGTAAGTTCTATTCAGTTGTGTATGTTTTAAATAAAGTCTTTGAAAATGTAATAAGTTTTACGAAATGCGCTCAAGTGTCGCGTCAGACTAGAAATAAAAATGAATTTAGATATTTTCTGTAAATTATTTGATGCTTTAGTCAATTCCCAAGTTTCGGTTCCTAAATCACTAAGTTTACATACTTGTGAGAGCAGCTCAAGGGCGAAGCACAATTAGTATCCTCTAATCTAGCTCTTACAATGGCTAGTTATGATGTAGCCACACAACACTGAAAGAATAACATTGCAAATACGATGATGGCAATTACAACTCTATTATAAGTTGTGGATTTACCTCCACCAAGTAAACAGCCTGATTCCTTGCAAAATTTCAGACTGGAAGTAGAATCCGAAATCAGAGCTCTCGGCACCAACGTTGACGCTGCAGTTGCGGAGTGGACGCAAAAATTGGATGTCCAAAGAAAAATACCAAGGTAGTCCATTCACCTGGATTCCATCCTAAGTGATGTTTTGTCAGTATGTGTTTATCATATAGAACGGGTATCTTAACTCTGCAAGAGATCTATGATGGATAAGGTCTGTTGTTAACCATATAAAAACACATGATAATATTATGCCACACGGAAAGAGCTCTCAAGTCCCCACGTGTACAGAAAAATAAGTATTTCTCCTTTAATAAAAGTCAAGGAGAAATACTTATCTTTATCCTCTCCCCTTGAGCCCCTAGGGCAGTTCGTTGTTGCCTTCACCCTCGTTCTGACAGTTTCTGCGACGGCGCTGACACCAATCGCATTAGCATTTGCCTTTCCAGTGGAGACTTTCAGCGTCTTGGAGAGGGAGGGACCTGCTGCATGGGCAACAGCTTCTTCCCTGTATCAACCTACCCTGGCTTTGTGCCCTGGAGAGGCCACTCTAGGCCGATAACCAGAACGCAACTCCACAGTCTCCTGAGACTGATGGTTGCCTACTACTACTACCACCTGCTTCCAACCTTGCGACGATAACTGCCCGTTGGACCCATACTAACCCGCCCATCCTCTGCTATGAGTCTCCCTGGGAGCGACGGGTCAAGCCATGAGCAGTTCACGTGTGGTCGTGTCCTTAGCAACACCTTAGACGCTCTGGCAGTATTGACAACATGCGTCTGCCATCTCACTGTATCACCCAGACTCACCTCTGAAGATTACAACTATATTAGCCCAAACGGGTTAATATAGTTGGACTACGCCAACGCACAAGCCTTGACCATATTCCTCAAAGTTAATGCAACGAAGTCTTAATGCAATATTAATTAAGGTAAGAGCAAACTAAATTAGGGCATTTGCTTTATTCTTCAATTTTAATTAGCGCTTCGTTTAGTTTAAACTAATCTTCCAATCTTATTTTTTATTTGTAATTATGATAGATTGATTACAAAGTTAAGTATTAACACTGGTTTCTTCTTAAAACAGCCATGGGGTTACACCTTGCAACTTAAATGTTTTTTACTTGCAAGACCTTCAGTGGGCTATAATCTAATAAAGAAGTTACTTTAGTGATTATAAAATTCTCTTTTCCACTTTCACGTTCCAGGTGTTGTGGGTATCATGGAACAATGTTAACGGGATTGCTCGGTGTTTCTAATAGGAAAGAGTAACGTTGTTTTTGTTTAATCAAAAATGTAATTGGTAAAATATTTGACTGTTTCAAGAAGAATCAATTGCTTGAAACACTTACAAAGGTGCACATGATGTTTAAGGGAAAGATCTAAACTTATAGCCATTGTTCAGTTTCAGTGATCGCCTGTAACCAACTGTATAAGACACTTCTTGTACAATTACCATTATCTGTCTGTGGAACTAGACACGATACATTACTATGGATGCTGCGAACATTACCATCTCTCCCTGGCCTGTCTCCCGCACCTTCCCTGACCATTGTTCCTGTCATATACGACACACTCACCCGATGGAAGGCCATGAGGCAGCGGTCGATGATGGGGATGTAAGGCACGTCTCTGGGGGCGTACCATTCCCGATACACTTACCCCATGGAAGGCCATGAGGCAGCGGTCGATGATGGGGATGTAAGGCACGTCTCTGGCGGCGTACCATTCCCGATACACTTACCCCATGGAAGGCCAGGAGGCAGCGGTCGATGATGTGGGTGTAGGGCGCATCTCTGGGAGCGTACCAGACCGCGTACCCGGGCTGGATGGGGTGTCTGGCCACGTAGAGTGGCGACCAGCCGTCGTCTCTCGTGTAGTTCTCAGCCACCAGCACTCTCAGCAGGGCGCCCTCGAAGACGTACGCCTCGCTGACAGAACGTAGTTGATCAGATGTAGTTTAGAAGCAGTGAAGATCGTTATAGAGACTGGATGGAGAAGACTTTTTGATTTATAGACCAAATTTCGGGGTAATAAAGTACGATTGGGGTTGCTGAATATTTTCATACATAGGTTAAATATAATATTATTTTTGTAATTATATAAAAGTAAATACATAGATTAGATAAATGATAGTGGATAATTTGTAGGTAAACAATATGATTTATGAAACAAACACAGAACGTTTCGTACATAAGTTTCAGACATAAGTAATTTATTTTTAAGTTAAATGGGGTAACACTAAATACTAAACGAGGACTAAGCTAAACTATTTTTATTCTTCAAGCGGTTTAAAAATATTTAAAAACTTTAACTCGTATTTAGACATTAGTTGTTAGTAGTTAATGTTCAGAATAACAGCAAAACACAGGTGGATAATAATATGATTTATGTTTACACCATCACAAGAAACCATCCAAACTCATCTTTGGTTATGTCGGCTATTATATCATAGGCTGGCCAATACAACCTAATGAACCACCAGATTTGGATAGTATATACACTAAAGGATAGTATAGAAATAATTCATTTAAGACACTAGGAAAGATAGTATCAAGAACGAGTGACAATAATTATAATAATATAATTAAGGGTCCCGGTAGTTAACCCGTCCTCGACTCAAGTCCATTCCATCCAGCGGTCAACCCCACAGACGCATTCATAAATTTTAACATGCTGTTCATTCAAAACGGGAATTTTCGCAAGTATAAATTAATATTATAATATATTAGCATATTGTGTATATATAGGCATAGGATAGGTTAGGTTAGGTGTTTAGGTTCTGTTGGCGATTATTTGTATTTGTAGTACGTGGGTGAAGCATTTATAGCGTTGTGATTCCAACAAAATTCGTCAGTGAAGCACTTGTTCCGGATATGTTCGAACGTCAGCAGTTGTGAGTCGTGTGTAAACCGCTTTTCATTCATAAACAGGGGGTTTGGCGGGTGGATGGAATCACTTTTGGATCTTTGTTTGGAAGACGGGCTGCGGTAGTACAGTCAGGTTCGTTGTCGATTCACAATCGAGAATTACGGGTTCGAATCCCAGGCGGGACAGATATGGTTGGGCTCATTTCCTTTCACATAATGAGACTGTTCACCTAGCAGTGCGTAGATACTCAACTAGTCAGCTTGTTGGGGGATGCATCCTGGGCGGATCAGTAATTCGGCTTCGGGGGGGTTGGGGGGTTAGATCTTGATAAAACCCAGACGTGTATGAATACACTCTGGCATTCTGTCCCCCCGACACAATGAATTATTTATAATGTATGTGTATCTTTCTCTTTTTGTCTTTCAGGTCAGGTAAGATTAAGATTATTGAAGGTATCTCTTAGACGACACTTTGGAAATGATCCCTATTCTGTATTTGTGTTACGGTGCCCTCTCCTATTTCTTTCGTTTGCCGGCTTAAAGAGTCATATCAGCTCTCCCTACTGATTCTCTGAGGTTCAGGGAGTCCAATGATATATGTGGCGACCAGACCGGCTGCCAGTTAAGGGAAGGAAGTTACATTATAAGTTGTAAATAAGGGGAAATTGGCGCCCTGATATAAAATGAAAGAGTATCCCCTAATGCAGATATGACCTTTTGGAAGGGACACTAGCCGATCGCGGATTGGCCGACTTAGGTCGCGGGCGACCAATCAGGGCCCGCCATGACGTCACCGAGTGCCCCGGGCGGCGCCAACGTCAGAGTTGATCCGACCTTGGAAGCGACAGGACGCGCCTCGGTCTGCTCTCAAGGATTAGAGGCTCTACAAGCCTTATTCAGTGGATTAAACTAGCCATCGCAGCCCACCATAAGTTATTGGAGACCCTGCGCTTCTGGGAAGCAAAAAGGAACCAAGTTCATTGAGCAGAGAAGTGCCAAACTTGGAAAATAGTCGGCGACGACGCTGGGGCGGCGCCGCTGGACGTTGAGGTCTGGAAGGTGCGGCGGGCAGGCCTAGCTGTGACTGGGTCACATCCACTGAGGGTTTTGAAGGGACGACACCGTGCCTAGGACAAGGAGCAACGCCTTGTGGAAGGGGCGAGTGTGGGAAAAATAGTGATTAGCTCAGCGCCCATCGATGAACCAGGATTGGGGCAGCTGAATCTCAGGGATTGGAACGGCGACGACACGAAGGCTCCACGACACCTGAGGACCTGTGGAACGTTCCTGGATCGTCGAGGATCGACTCAGGAAGCGTGGGAACCTCACACCATCGAGGGACAGGCGTCGTGAGCCAGGAGTGTAAGGTAGATCATTTTCCCTCCCATTACCCCTTGTGTGAGTAGGCTAGTTAGGCCACAATAGTTACTTATGTATGTGGCAACAGGACATTAATACTTTAGTAGTAGAATAGGCTGCAAGGCAGCTTGTGTCCAGGACTGTCAGAGAGGACAGTGTGTATTGATGGCAGGACAGTGAAGAAGAGGCGCCGCCGTGGTGAAGAGGCCCTCCTGTGAGAGAGTGTGGGACTCCTGTCTTTCTGCCCAGTTGAAGGAGTGTTGGAGGTCGTGGAAGAAGAGGCTGACGATCTCCAGACTTATTATCCTTATTTCCATATTCATGTATTACTTGTGATTGTGTGTGTGTTCATGAAATTTGCATCAGTAAATTCACACTTTTATCATTGTGTTTGAGTGTGCCTCCATTTATAATATTTCTCTATGAGCATACACGAAGGTTATCACAGTACCACCTAGGGAACACAACGTTCTCTATAGAAGTTCTTATTGCCTGGTGAGTGGTAAAGACAGCACAGACTTACATAAAAGTGTACCCTTAGCCATCCGATCAGTATCAGTGCCTGAATGGTGGCAACTATTAACGTAGTAGCTATAGAGAGAGGTAAAGCCACACAGACCTTCCTGGGAGAGTACCCTGGGCCGACAGTCTAGTAGCAGATCTATGGGAGTAGCAATCTTCTGGCTACAAACAACATATAATACACCCACTGAACTGCATTGCTGGGGTGCAGATATAATAACCCAGCTGGCGACCTTGTTAAGAAGAAGATAGAGAAGACAGGCGGGAAAGGAGTTCCTGCAACCTTTTTGTCTGGCAGGCAAGACTCAGGGAGGTTATTGTTATAAGGTAAGCCTGAGTCTTCCTTCACTCCTCCACGGGTCTAGGCCGGAACTGTTAACAGAAGTTTCCCCGTGTTTGACTGAAGGGCTTCCAGGGTGAATCAGTGGCACCCCCTTTTGTGGTGGAAGCAAAGACCTGCGGAGGTGGGCATTGTTGGTCCTCTCTTGTGTGACCAAGGAGACTCCGGTGAATCCCGGGAGTCGGAGGGGCTGAGTATTCGGCCTTTTGAGCCTCTAGCAGCCGAGTGCTAGCAGAGCCCCGGCCCACCCACCTCCACGTGACAGAGAACTGGCGACCTTGCCAGGATTCGAACCCCGGTAGCCAAGAACTGGGAACTTCGCCAGGAAGCGTGGATCAAGCTACAGTGTGGCCCAAATTTCAAGACAAGTGTTGCCAGGGTACTAATACAGTGTGGCCAGTGAATTCAGTGGTACTGTTACTCAACCAGCTAAGGGACTAAAACGGTGAAATTAGTGCCTACTAACTTGTCTGTGCTGTCGTGTATGCTCAATGATATAGAGATGGAGGAGGACAAAGTAAAGAAATTTATTGACACAAGGGACGAGAGAATTTTGGAAGAGTGTACCAAGGCCCAGCTCCAACAAGTGGCAAACCACTTTGGGATCAGGTTGAGGACGACTAAGGTGGCGGAGCGAAGGATAGAGATCATGGCACAGCTCACAGCTCGAGAGGAGGCGACGGGAGAGGAGCCATCTCAAGAGGAGCCGTCCCGAGGAGAGCCGTCGCAAGGTGGACCGTCCCGACTAGGGCCACCCCGAGCGCCTACCAGTGTGAAGAGAATTCACAGTGAACATGGGAGCAGTGGAAGATCCAGCTGTAGTAAGAGGAGCCTGTAACTGGAAATAATGAAGATGCAACTGGAAGCCCAGCTGTGACGAGAGGAGAGAGAAGCGCAAATGCAGCGAGAGGAACGTGCAGCTGAGCTGCAGCGAGAGGAACGTGCAGCTGAGCTGCAGCGGGAAGAAGGAGAGAGACGACTGCGACTGGAGGAGATAAAGGCAAAGAAAGAAGTCGAATTGCGTCGCGTTGAACGTGGTCTGCCCTCACTACCTGCACGGCGGGATGACCTCAAGGTAAGGGAACGTGACTTACCTACGTTCGAACCACAAGAAACTGAGGCGTTCTTCGAACACTTTGAACGGATAGCAACTCTGAAGGAGTGGCCGGAAGATGATTGGGCTACTCTGGTCCAGGGCAGGTTGACTGGTGAGGCCCAGGAAGCCTACAACATGCTGGACCTAGAGGAGTGTACTAGTTACGACGCGATTAAGAATGCGGTGTTCCACTCATTCCGGCTGACTCCGGAGATGTACCGGAAGCGGTTCAGAGAGTATACAAGAGCGTCGGGAAAGACTTACGCCGAGACCGCGAGGGATATGGAACGGAAATTCCTACGATGGTTGAAGGCGGAGGAAGCGGAGTCGGCGGATAATATCAAACGACTGATAGTGATGGAGAAGTTTATGTCGGTGCTCCATCCTGAGTTGCGAGTAAGGGTGAGAAAAGCAGGTATTAAGGACCTGAAGGCTGCAGCGGACCGAGCCGACATGCTGGAGGAGGCACTACATCTCAGGAGGGAGGGGCCACCCAGACACTCGCCTTACCCCAGGTCGGGAGGGAACCTTAGGAGTTCAGGAGGAGCGAGGATGGGTGGGGACTCTCCCAAGAGTAGTGTACCCAATGAGGTAACCCAGTTCAAGAGCCCAAGGGACGCGGGGAGGAAGCCCCAATCTGTGAGCAATGGACCTAGCTCGAGAGCAGGTGCGGCAGTCCCGGATACGACGACAGGGAGTCCAAGGAGGGCCCAGGGGACGTCTGCAAGTGGTACCGCCAGAGGG